CAGCCCCTTTCTTCCCGTCCTCCCTACCCTTTCTCCCCATACCCTGCCCTCCCCCTTCACTGGATCCCCCGCCCCTCATCCCAGTATCCTGTGAGACCCTGTTACCCACCTCACAGGTCCTCACACCCATGGAACAGCCTCCCCCACCAGCAGAACACTCACCAAGGAGGCGATTTGAGAAGGGACAGAAGAGAGTGAGCCTCAAAGCGATGTACACTAACATAGATGGAATTACAAATAAAGCAAATGAGCTTGGAGAACTGGTACTAAAGGAAAACCCAGACATAATAGCCCTCACAGAAACAAAGATCACGAAAACGATAACAAACGCAGTGTTCCCACAGGACTATTATGTTATGAGGAAAGAGAGGGAAGGATGAGGTGGGGGTGGTGTATCTCTGCTGGTAAGAAAAGGCTGGGATGTTGAGGAGATTGATATTCAGGGCTGTGAAGGTTTCAGTGACTACATAGCAGGTACTGTAACAAATGGAGGGAAAAAAATTATAGTTGTAGTCATATATAATCCACCACCATGCCCGAAACCGGGCAATCATGAAACCGGGCAATCGTTTCGGGCAATCATGCCCGAAACGCTTTGCGTAATAGTGGCTTTAGGCATTGTATGTACTAGCTATACCTATAAGTCAAACAATCCTTGTAAATATTTATTGTATGTATGTACCTTACCTAAATAAAATTGTATTGTATTGTATTGTACCAAATGACAGAAGACCTAGACAGAAATATGATAGAAACAACATGGCCACCATTAACATAGTTGAAAGAGCAGCTTCTGTTGCTAGCAGGAATGGATCTGAACTACTAATTATGGGAGACTTCAACCATGGGAAGATAGATTGGAAGAACAGAGACCCGCATGGAGGACCAGAAACATGGAGAGCTAAGCTGCTGGACGTGGCAACAAGAAACTTTCTAAGCCAGAACATCAAAGAACCAACAAGAATGAGAGGAGAAGATGAACCAGCAATGCTTGATTTGATATTTACCCTAAATGAGTGGGATATAAGTGAAGTTAAGATGGAAGCGCCCTTGGGAATGAGTGACCACAGTGTATTGAACTTTTAGTACCTGGTAGAGCTAGGACTTATCTCCCCCAAAAAAGAACTAGGAATCAAAAGGCTGGCATACCGAAAGGGGAATTATGAACAGATGAGAAGTTTCCTAAGTGAAATACCTTGGGACACAGACCTCAGAGATAAGTCTGCACAGGGTATGATGGAGTATGTTACCCAAAAGTGTCAGGAGGCAGTAAACAGGTTCATCCCGGCCCAAAGGGAAAAATCCGAGAAGCAACAGAAGAATCCATGGTATAATAGGACATGTATGGAAGCGAAGAAACTGAACAAAAGGGCGTGGAGGAACTTCCGGAATAACAGAACACCAGAAAGCAGAGAGAGATACCAGAGAACCAGGAATGAGTACGTCAGGGTGAGAAGAGAAGCAGAGAAAAGTTTTGAAAATGATATAGCAAACAAAGCCAAGACCGAACCAAAGCTACTCCACAGTCACATCAGAAGGAAAACAACAGTGAAAGAACAGGTATTGAAACTTCGAACAGGCGAGGACAGGTATACAGAGAATGACAGAGAGGTGTGTGAAGAACTCAACAAGAGGTTCCAGGAGGTCTTCACAATAGAACAAGGTGAGGTCACTGTGCTAGGAGAAAGGGAGGTAAACCAGGCGGCCTTGGAAGAGTTCGAAATTACGAGAGAGGAGGTCAAGAGACACCTGCTGGATCTGGATGTTAGAAAGGCTGTTGGTCCAGATGGGATCTCACCATGGGTACTGAAAGAGTGTGCAGAGGCACTTTGCTTGCCACTCTCCATAGTGTATAGTAAGTCACTGGAGACGGGAGACCTACCAGAAATATGGAAGACGGCGAATGTGGTCCCAATATACAAAAAGGGCGACAGGCAAGAGGCACTGAACTACAGGCCAGTGTCCTTGACTTGTATACCATGCAAGGTGATGGAGAAGATCGTGAGAAAAAACCTGGTAACACATCTGGAGAGAAGGGACTTCGTGACAAATCGCCAACATGGGTTCAGGGAGGGTAAATCTTGCCTTACAGGCTTGATAGAATTCTACGATCAGGTGACAAAGATTAAGCAAGAAAGAGAGGGCTGGGCGGACTGCATTTTCTTGGATTGTCGGAAAGCCTTTGACACAGTACCGCATAAGAGGCTGGTACATAAGCTGGAGAGACAGGCAGGTGTAGCTGGTAAGGTGCTCCAGTGGATAAGGGAGTATCTAAGCAATAGGAAGCAGAGAGTTACGGTGAGGGGTGAGACCTCCGATTGGCGTGAAGTCACCAGTGGAGTCCCACAGGGCTCTGTACTCGGTCCTATCTTGTTTCTGATATATGTAAATGATCTCCCGGAGGGTATCGATTCATTTCTCTCAATGTTTGCGGACGATGCTAAAATTATGAGAAGGATTAAAACAGAAGAGGACTGTTTGAGGCTTCAAGAAGACCTAGACAAGCTGAAGGAATGGTCGAACAAATGGTTGTTAGAGTTTAACCCAACCAAATGTAATGTAATGAAGATAGGTGTAGGGAGCAGGAGGCCAGATACAAGGTATCATCTGGGAGAGGAAATTCTTCAGGAGTCAGAGAAGGAAAAAGACTTGGGGGTTGATATCACGCCAGACCTGTCTCCTGCAGCACATATCAAGAGGATAACATCAGCGGCATATGCCAGGCTGGCCAACATACGAACGGCATTCAGAAACTTGTGTAAAGAATCATTCAGAACTTTGTATACCACATATGTCAGGCCAATCCTGGAGTATGCAGCCCCAGCATGGAGTCCATATCTAGTCAAGGATAAGACTAAACTGGAAAAGGTTCAAAGGTTTGCCACCAGACTAGTACCCGAGCTGAGAGGTATGAGCTACGAGGAGAGACTACGGGAATTAAACCTCACTTCGCTGGAAGACAGAAGAGTTAGGGGGGACATGATCACCACATTCAAGATTCTGAAGGGAATTGATAGGGTAGATAAAGACAGTCTATTTAACACAAGGGGAACACGCACAAGGGGACACAGGTGGAAACTGAGTGCCCAAATGAGCCACAGAGATATTAGAAAGAACTTTTTTAGTGTCAGAGTGGTTGACAAATGGAATGCATTAGGGGGTGATGTGGTGGAGGCTGACTCCATACACAGTTTCAAGTGTAGATATGATAGAGCCCGATAGGCTCAGGAATCTGTACACCTGTTGATTGACGGTTGAGAGGCGGGACCAAAGAGCCAGAGCTCAACCCCCGCAAACACAACTAGGTGAGTACAACTAGGTGAGTACACACACACACACACACACACAGGGGGCTGGGCCGAGCGGACAGCGCGCTGGATTCGTGGACCTGTGACGCCGGGTTCGATCCCGGCAGTCGGAGGGAAACAAACGGGCAGAGTTTCTTTCACCCTGATGCCCCTGTTACCTAGCAGTAAATAGGTACCTGGGAGTTAGACAGCTGTCTACGGGCTGCTTCCTGGTGTGTGCAAGCACAACTAGGTGAATACAAACACTCACGTTGTTGACGATCTAATCATTTACACCTATTTCAGACTGGCACGACCCTACTCATCAAACTCTACGCGCCTGTATGAGTATTAAGTAGTTGCCCTCAGTCACTCACATATCGTTGTCCAATGGTTCCCAGTCTTTATCTGAAGTTCTGTGTTGCACTTCGGGTCCTCATTAAACAAAGTCAACACTGGACCAGTTCTCTCTGCTCCATATATGAGGAGATTGTGAGGACCCCGAGTGTAAGTCTTTGCTGGAAGGTCCCAGGAGTGTACAGGTTCTGCTGGAAGATCCCTGGAGTGTAAAGGTTCTGCTGGAAGGTCCCTGGAGTGTAAAGGTTCTGCTGGAAGGTCCCTGAAGTGTATAGGTTCTGCTGGAAGGTCCCAGGAGTGTACAGGTTCTGCTGGAAGGTCCCTGGAGTGTAAAGGTTCTGCTGGAAGGTCCCTGGAGTGTAAAGGTTCTGCTGGAAGGTCCCTGGAGTGTATAGGTTCTGCTGGAAGGTCCCTGGAGTGTATAGGTTCTGCTGGAAGGTCCCTGGAGTGTACAGGTTTTGCTGGAAGGTCCCTGGAGTGTACAGGTTCTGCTGGAAGGTCCCTGGAGTGTAAAGGTTCTGCTGGAAGGTCCCTGGAGTGTATAGGTATTGCTGGAAGGTCCCTGGAGTGTACAGGTTTTGCTGGAAGGTCCCTGGAGTGTACAGGTTTTGCTGGAAGGTCCCTGGAGTGTACAGGTTTTGCTGGAAGGTCCCTGGAGTGGTATTGGTATTGCTGGAAGGTCCCTGGAGTGTATAGGTTCTGCTGAAAGGTCCCTGGAGTGTACAGGTTTTGCTGGAAGGTCCCTGGAGTGTATAGTTCTGCTGGAAGTCCCTGGAGTGTACAGGTTTTGCTGGAAGGTCCCTGGAGTGTACAGGTTCTGCTGGAAGGTCCCCGGAGTGTAAAGGTTCTGCTGGAAGGTCCCTGGAGTGTACAGGTTCTGCTGGAAGGTCCCTGGAGTGTGCAGGTAACCCACGTCTCGTTTAGCACAATTACTTCATTCTTTAATAATTGACAAAAATATTTAAATATAAGCTGTCTAATTCCATCCCGTCTTCCTAATAGTACGTCGCATTTTGACGTATACTTTATCAAAGGCCAAAGACTGTCGTACTGGAAAATGGCAGCGGCTGCCGCAAATAACATAATGTCCAGTTTTGAGTTCATGGGATTTCTGGTAGGATAGGCACTTTAGCACGACGGTTTCTTGACGTTAGTAACGCTCGCGAGAACGGCTGTGTATTTACCAAGCTACAACAGTACATGTAGTATTTACCAGGTACCAGCAGTATATGTAGTATTTACCAAGCACCAACAGCATGTAGCATTTTCCGAGCTCCAACAGTATATGTAGTATTTACCAAGCTTCACCAGTACATGTAGTAGATAATGGTTTGTATCTTGTATTTTTTACCAGCCATGAGGACTTTCCTTCCTCTTGTACAGTGTTCCCAAAATTTCCCGAGGTTGCAGGTGGCCCTCCACAGTCGCCCTCAGACACCTGCCCCTCCACAGTCGCCCTCAGACACCTGCCCCTCCACAGTCGCCCTCAGACACCTGCCCCTCCACAGTCGCCCTCAGACACCTGCCCCTCCACAGTCGACCTCAGACACCTGCCCCTCCACAGTCGCCCTCAGACACCTGCCCCTCCACAGTCGCCCTCAGACACCTGCCCCATCACAGTCGCCCTCAGACACCTGCACCTCCACAGTCCCCTCAGACACCTCCACTCGCCCCTCCACAGTCGCCCTCAGACACCTGCCCCTCCACAGTCGCCCTCAGACACCTGCCCCTCCACAGTCGCCCTCAGACACCTGCCAGACTCCACAGTCGTCCTCAGACACCTGCCCCTCCACAGTCGCCCTCAGACACCTGCCTCAGATACCTGCCCCTTCACCCCCCACAGTTGCCCTCAGACACCTGCCCCTCCACAGTCGCCCTCAGACACCTGCCCCTCCACAGTCGCCCTCAGACACCTGCCCCTCCACAGTCGCCCTCAGACACCTGCCCCTCCACAGTCGCCCTCAGACACCTGCCCCTCCACAGTCGCCCTCAGACACCTGCCCCTCCACAGTCGCCCTCAGACACCTGCCCCTCCACAGTCGCCCTCAGACACCTGCCCCTCCACAGTCGCCCTCAGACACCTGCCCCTCCACAGTCGCCCTCAGACACCTGCCCCTCCACAGTCGCCTTAGACACCTGCCCCTCCACAAGTAACACTACGTGTATTAATAATAATGACATTGATGAAGGTGAAGGAGCCAATATAAGTGTGTATTATAACCCAAGTTATCCCATGTATCCTACAGCAGAAATTGACATTTCAGACTGAAACTGAGGAATACATAGTGACCATTGTATACTGCACCTTGAGAAACGATGTAGGTTACATACGATTGTGTTTTGTTTTAATTCACTAACACATATATTGAGTCTTTCCTTCACCTCCATGCATGCCCCAGGACATGGTAGAAAGTTTCTACAATGGTATTAACAACATTGATAATGACTGACTATTCTTATTGAAACAAAAATAAAAGTTATGTCATTACTAACAAAAATATACTAATAAAAGTGAATGCTTGTTAATAAGTAAACATGTATTTCAGCAATAGGTTAGAGCCGCTAGTAAGGTTACAGTCACTAGTAAGGTTACAGTCGCTAGTAAGGTTACAGTCGCTAGTAAGGTTACAGTCGCTAGTAAGGTTACAGTCTCTAGTAAGGTTACAGTCACTAGTAAGGTTACAGTCGCTAGTAAGGTTACAGTCTCTATTAAGGTTACAGTCACTAGTAAGGTTACAGTCGCTCGTAAGTTACAGTCTCTATTAAGGTTACAGTCACTAGTAAGGTTACAGTCACTAGTAAGGTTACAGTCACTAGTAAGGTTACAGTCACTAGTAAGGTTACAGTCGCTAGTAAGGTTACAGTCGCTAGTAAGGTTACAGTCTCTAGTAAGGTTACAGTCGCTAGTAAGGTTACAGTCGCTAGTAAGGTTACAGTCTCTAGTAAGGTTACAGTCACTAGTAAGGTTACAGTTGCTAGTAAGGTTACTGTCTCTATTAAGGTTACAGTCACTAGTAAGGTTACAGTCGCTCGTAAGGTTACAGTCTCTATTAAGGTTACAGTCGCTAGTAAGGTTACAGTCGCTAGTAAGGTTACAGTCGCTAGTAAGGTTACAGTCACTAGTAAGGTTACAGTCACTAGTAAGGTTACAGTCGCTAGTAAGGTTACAGTCGCTAGTAATGTTACAGTCTCTAGTAAGGTTACAGTCGCTAGTAAGGTTACAGTCACTAGTAAAGGTTACAGTCGCTAGTAATGTTACGGTCTCTAGTAAGGTTACAGTCGCTAGTAAGGTTACAGTCTCTAGTAAGGTTACAGTCGCTAGTAAGGTTACAGTCGCTAGTAAGGTTACAGTCGCTAGTAAGGATACAGTCGCTAGAAAGGTTACAGTCACTAGTAAGGTTACAGTCGCTAGTAAGGTTACAGTCGCTAGTAAGGTTACAGTTGCTAGTAAGGTTACAGTCACTAGTAAGGTTACAGTCGCTAGTAAGGTTACAGTCACTAGTAAGGTTACAGTCACAAGTAGGGTTACAGTCACTAGTAAGGTTACAGTCGCTAGTAAGGTTACAGTCGCTAGTAATGTTACAGTCTCTAGTAAGGTTACAGTCGCTAGTAAGGTTACAGTCTCTAGTAAGGTTACAGTCGCTAGTAAGGTTACAGTCGCTAGTAAGGTTACAGTCGCTAGTAAGGATACAGTCGCTAGAAAGGTTACAGTCACTAGTAAGGTTACAGTCGCTAGTAAGGTTACAGTCGCTAGTAAGGTTACAGTTGCTAGTAAGGTTACAGTCGCTAGTAAGGTTACAGTCGCTAGTAAGGTTACAGTCACTAGTAAGGTTACAGTCACTAGTAGGGTTACAGTCACTAGTAAGGTTACAGTCGCTAGTAAGGTTACAGTCGCTAGTAAGGTTACAGTCACTAGTAAGGTTACAGTCACTAGTAAGGTTACAGTCACTAGTAAGGTTACAGTCGCTAGTAAGGTTACAATTGCTAGTAAGGTTACAGTCTCTAGTAAGGTTACAGTCGCTAGTAAGGTTACAGTCGCTAGTAAGGTTACAGGCTCTAGTAAGGTTACAGTCACTAGTAAGGTTACAGTCGCTAGTAAGGTTACAGTCGCTAGTAAGGTTACAGTCGCTAGTAAGGTTACAGTCTCTAGTAAGGTTACAGTCGCTAGTAAGATTACAGTAAGGTTACAGTACTAGGTTACAGTCGCTAGTACAGTCGCTAGTAAGGTTACGTCACTAGTTACAGTCACTAGTAAGGTTACAGTCACTAGTAAGGTTACAGTCACTAGTAAGGTTACAGTCGCTAGAAAGGTTACAGTCACTAGTAAGGTTACAGTCGCTAGTAAGGTTACAGTCGCTAGTAAGGTTACAGTCGCTAGTAAGGTTACAGTCACTAGTAAGGTTACAGTCACTAGTAAGGTTACAGTCACTAGTAAGGTTACAGTCGCTAGCAAGGTTACAGTCGCTAGTAAGGTTACAGTCACTAGTAAGGTTACAGTCACAAGTAAGGTTACAGTCGCTAGTAAGGTTACAGTCGCTAGTAAGGTTACAGTCACTAGTAAGGTTACAGTCACTAGTAAGGTTACAGTCGCTAGTAAGGTTACAGTCACTAGTAAGGTTACAGTCGCTAGTAAGGTTACAGTCGCTAGTAAGGTTACAGTCACTAGTAAGGTTACAGTCACAAGTAAGGTTACAGTCGCTAGTAAGGTTACAGTCGCTAGTAAGGTTACAGTCTCTAGTAAGGTTACAGTCACTAGTAAGGTTACAGTCGCTAGTAAGGTTACAGTCGCTAGTAAGGTTACAGTCGCTAGTAAGGTTACAGTCACTAGTAAGGTTACAGGCTCTAGTAAGGTTACAGTCACTAGTAAGGTTACAGTTACTAGTAAGGTTACAGTCACTAGTAAGGTTACAGTCACTAGTAAGGTTACAGTCGCTAGTAAGGTTACAGTCGCTGGTAAGGTTACAGTCACTAGTAAGGTTACAGTCACTAGTAAGGTTACAGTTACTAGTAAGGTTACAGTCACTAGTAAGGTTACAGTCACTAGTAAGGTTACAGTCGCTAGTAAGGTTACAGTCGCTGGTAAGGTTACAGTCATTAGTAAGGTTACAGTCACTAGTAAGGTTACAGTCGCTAGTAAGGTTACAGTCGCTGGTAAGGTTACAGTCATTAGTAAGGTATTCACGTGACAATTTAAGTTCCCTCCATCCCCCTAGCCAACCTCTCCCTCCATCCCCCTAGCCTCCCACCTCCCCTCCATCCCCCTAGCCCCCCACCTCTCCCTCCATCCCCCTAGCCTCCCACCTCTCCCTCCATCCCCCTAGCCCCCACCTCTCCCTCCATCCCCCTAGCCTCCCACCTCTCTCCCTCCCCCCCCTAGCTCCCCCATCCCCCTCCCTCCCTCCCCCTAGCCCCCACCTCTCCCTCCATCCCCCCTAGCCTCCCACCTCTCCCTCCATCCCCCTAGCCTCCCACCTCTCCCTCCATCCCCCTAGCCCCCCACCTCTCCCTCCATCCCCCTAGCCTCCCACCTCTCCCTCCATCCCCCTAGCCTTCCGCCTCTCCCTCCATCCCCCTAGCCTCCCTCTCCTCCCCCCTAGCCTCCCCCCACCTCTCCCTCCCTCCCCCTCCCTCCCCCCCACCTCTCCCTCCATCCCCCTAGCCCCCCCACCTCTCCCCCTAGCCATCCCCCTCCATCCCCCTACCCTCCCTCCTCTAGCCTCCCTCCATCCCCCTAGCCTCCCACCTCTCCCTCCATCCCCCTAGCCCCCCCACCTCTCCCTCCATCCCCCTAGCCCCCCACCTCTCCCTCCATCCCCCTAGCCCCCCACCTCTCCCTCCATCCCCCTAGCCTCCCACCTCTCCCTCCCTCCCCCAAGCCACCCACCCTCCCTCCATCCCCCTAGCCCCCCCCACTCTCTCCCTCCCTCCCCCTCCATCCCCCTAGCCTCTCCTCTCCCTCCCCCTAGCCCCCCACCTCTCCCTCCATCCCCCTAGCCTCCCACCTCTCCCTCCATCCCCCTAGCCTCCCCCACCTCTCCCTCCATCCCCCTAGCTTTCCGCCTCTCCCTCCATCCCCCTAGCCTCCCACCTCTCCCTCCATCCCCCTAGCCCCCCACCTCTCCCTCCATCCCCCTAGCCCCCCACCTCTCCCTCCATCCCCCTAGCCTCCCACCTCTCCCTCCATCCCCCCCAGCCCATCCCCACCTCTCCCTCCATCCCCCTAGCCTCCCACCTCTCCCTCCCCCCCACCTCTCCCTCTCCCCCCCTAGCCTCCCCCCCACCTAGCCTCCCTCCATCCCCCTAGCCCCCCACCTCTCCCTCCCCCCCCCCCCCCTACCCATCCCCCCTCCCTCCATCCCCCTAGCCTCCCCCATCCCCCTAGCCTCCCTCCATCCCCCTAGCCTCCCCCCCTCTCCCTCCATCCCCCTAGCCTCCCACCTCTCCCTCCCTCCCCCTAGCCTCCCACCTCTCCCTCCATCCCCCCAGCTACCCACCTCTCCCTCCATCCCCCTAGCCTCCCACCTCTCCCTCCATCCCCCTAGCCTACCCTCCCCCCTAGCCTCCCCTCTCCATCCCCCTAGCCTCCCCACCTCTCCCTCCATCCCCCTAGCTCCCCCCCACCTCTCCCTCCATCCCCCAGCCTCCCCCACCTCTCCCTCCATCCCCCTAGCCCCCCCACCTCTCCATCCTCCCTCCCAGCTACCCACCTCTCCCACCTCCCTCCAGCCCCCCTAGCCTCTCCCTCCATCCCCCTAGCCTCCCCACCTCTCCCTCCATCCCTCTAGCCTCCCTCCATCCCCCTAGCCCCCCACCTCTCCCTCCATCCCCCTAGCCCCCACCCCTCCATCCCCCTAGCCTACCCACCCTCCCCCCCCCCTCCCTCCATCCCCCTAGCCTCCCTCCTCCCCCTAGCCTCTCCCTCCCTCCATCCCAGCTCTCCCTCCATCCCCCTAGCCTCCCCCACCCTCCCTCCATCCCCCTAGCCCCCCACCTACCCACCTCTCCCTCCATCCCCCTAGCCTCCCACCTCTCCCTCCATCCCCCTAGCCCCCCACCTCTCCCTCCATCCCCCTAGCCTCACCTCTCCCTCCATCCCCCTAGCCTCCCACCTCTCCCTCCATCCCCCCCCCATCTACCATCCCCCTAGCCCCCCA